TGTAGAGGATGTTATGATTTTGAAGGTATGTAAAGAGTCTATAATACATTTTGAAAAGCACGGGAGTATGGAGATGGGTCTATAGTTAGATAAAGTCGAGTCATCTCCGCTTTTAAATACTGGAACTACGCGTGCTAATTTTAGGCGGTCAGGAGAAACTCCATTTTTTAATGAGAGATTAAAGATATACATTAGGGGATACTCAATAACGTCATAAACATTTTTAACAACTTTAGAGTCTATGTCATACAATTGAAACCATACAGCCCAGAAAAAGACCAGGTCTTTATGGTTTCAAAAGCATTTCAAAGCTCATCAGGAGATAAGTCATACTCATCCATTGTGGTCTACTTTTTTTAAGTATGATTTAAATAGTTTTTTACTTTGAGTTATTTTATTTGCTAACGTTTTTCCAATGTTTATAAAATAATTGTTAAAGTTTTCAGCAATTTCTTTTTTATCACTGATAAATATGTTTTTATCATTAGTATTTAAACGTTTAGATAGTGTATTACCAGAGTCAATCTTTTTTTTTCCTATTATTTCTTTTATAACATCCCATGTTTTTTTGTTATTTCCAATATTGTTTTACAATAAATTAGAATAATAATTTTTTTTTTGCTTGTTTTTTTATTTTTTCAAAGAGGTTTTTATAATTTTTGTATTTTTTATTTTCATTCTTGTAAGTTTTTTTTTTAATATTTTTCATAGAGTTTTAACAATATAGAAGTATTTCTTTAAGTAAATTTCAAGTAAGTATTTGTTTTAACATTATGGGGGTATTCACCTAAGTAATTTGTAAGTAAATATAACAAAACACCACAACAGGTATAGATGGCTTAAAGAAACACCAACCCAAAAAATATTTCATTTATTTAAAAAATTTATGGGGCCCTAGATTTATCGCTTTAGATGTATGGCAATTAAAAACACATGTAACATCGTATATTAACTTTATTTTAATAGACAATAACTTATTAAATTATACATTTTGGTGTCCTACAGTTATTATATGATTTTTTTAATTCATGAAGCGTAAAAAAATATTTCAAAAACATATTGCGACTATATAACTATTTTAGAAAAGTAAATAAATTTCCTTTTTAGTGTCTTTTTTGTTATGTTTTTTAGTGTGTGTTCTTTGTGTTCCTTTATATATTTTATGATTTTGTGAATATTTTTAGCGGAATATTTTTTTATCTGACGTAAAAACATGTATTTAGACTTTATATAAGAATCCTCTATATAAAAACATTTTACGTGCTTTAAAGTGCCCTTTAGGTGTCCTAGAGTCTATAGTGCAATCATGGTGATGAACATAAGAGTATTTTTAATGAATAAAGCTTAAAAGGTTTCCCTTAAAACATAAATTTTTACTATGTATACCTATCTGAAAAAATGTTATTACTGACTTTTTTAGGGTGTTTTGCAGTGTGTTATTTTGGTGTCCTAGATTTATGGTATGCCCTCAGGAGTATTTTTCAATGATGGAACTTTAAAAATTAAGCTAAAAACATATATCATGACCATGTTTTGTTTTCCCATGCCGCACAAAGAGATTTTTCTTAAGTACTGTCAAATGTCCACAAAAAGTGCAAAATAAACCACTGTGTAATGGTTTTCCATTATTTTCAAAAATTGGATTATGATTTCTTAAATAGCCAAGATATAAATAACCAAGCTCACAATAAAAAAAAGGAAAAAAAAAAAACTCTGTTTGGGAAAGTTATTTGATTGATTGCTACAATCAACGTAAATTTCGTGAACCTTCTAAACCAAGAAATTTTATCACCTCTACCAGTTTAACGAAGTATTACTAATAAAACCGGTTGATATTTTAATTACCGGTTGATATAAACAAAAAAAAAAAACAAAAAAAAAACAAACAAACAACAACAACAGCAACAACAACAACAACAAGAAAACATTAAAGCTCCGCTTGAACGGTTTCTCGCTGACAAGACATAACGGTCTTCTACGAGTTTTCCGTTTCTTTATTGTGCTATCTTTGTAATCAATGTAAGATAACTTTTTATTTTACTTATATTTGTATAAAGACTGCAATAAAGAGAAAAATATATATATACATATTTTTATAGAAATTTCTTAATTTCAAGTTTGAAATATTAAATTAAAATTAAAAGGTATGCCCTACCTTCGTCAAGTTCTTCTGTTAAATTTTTCTTCTCGTTGTGGTAGTGCAAGAGTGGGATAATTCCCTTCATTAACAACCCTTCATTTTAAACAATACGTTAATTAAAGTAGCACTTAAAAAAACTCTACCAATATAAACTCAACTATAATTCATGTGATAAATTCTCATTTAGTAAAAAAAAAATTCTAACGTTTTAAATTTCATCTGTAAAATTCTGATTTAGTAGAAAAAAATTCTAACGTTCTAAAGTTAAGAGCCGTTTTTTCTAAGAATCAGGCAAATTCCTGAAACTGTGGAAGTGACCTCGTCCAAATTGCTTGAATTTTTTATATATTGATCAGAATATAGAGAAAACCTGTTGGGGAAAAAAAAAATTTTCAAAAATGTTTCTTTCACTCGGAATCTGGGCTTAAATTTTTGAGACTTTTTTAAAAATTTTTAGAAATTTAGTTTTTGCCACCTTTGAACCCATTTTTTTTGACAAGGCAAAAAATTGCTCTTAGCTTTTGTAGTTAATATCAGACGTAACCCAAAAGCTCTCTCCACAAAATATAAAAAAGTTGCGTGACACTGTGCGGTTGGCTAATTATCGTAGTTCAAAAGTACAAAATCAATCAGTTTTGTCAATTTTTAATCGGAGTTAATTCTAGCGGCGAAGTGTTGCATACAATTTTTCTTTTAGGATTTGAAATTATCAAAGGTATTGAGTCTAAAAATGCAAAGAAAGTTATGTGATACCTAAGGCCTATTAATATATTGAGGCTTGAAATTGGAAAAAAATGTTATAGTATACTTACAAAATGAGCTATTACGGCAGAGGCGCTAAGTTTTGTAAAAATATAATCATGTTAAATGGTCAATATAAGATGACCCTAACATAGTTTAAAAAAAAACTCATGTGATCTTTAGATATTAAGTTAAAAATAAAGGTACAAATTGTTAAAAATGATTAAGTACGAAGAGATATTTTTTTGGACACACAGATGAGGTTTTCGCTCACAATAAAATTTCTATCATCCAAAATTAGCAATTAGCATTTAACAAAACATTGCACGTAATGTTAAGAAAAAATTTAAGCGTTTCTGACTATGATATAGAAATCATAACAATTAAAATAGTTTAGCGCTTAGTTTTGTAAAAATGTAAACATATCCAACTGTCAATACAAAAAGGTCCTAACATAATAATAAAAAAAATTCGTGTGATTTTGTCACACACATGATATAACATGAATTAAAAACTGAACAAAAATCTAACATCAAGATAACTATATTGCTAATTAAATGAAACATAAATCAAACATTTAAATGTTTTTCCATTTAAAAATTAGTTTTTCATTTATTAATAGAGTCATTTACACACATTATCCACCACATCACACATAATTTCTACTCTGCTGCAGTAAGTTTCTATAAGAGTAATGATATGACTGTATTATAGTCTTCTTCGGATAATGAATAATCGCCACAACCACTGATTAGAAAAGGAGCATTTACTAAACAGATAATTTTATCAGTTCGGTTATTTATCTCCTCGGTAGTAACTGGCCAGCGAAAAGTATTCTTCTCTTGCCCGTTAATCATACAATTAACTCTGATCCCAGTTATAGATACCTAAAAGTATTAGCGCAACATTTAAAATAATATAATAAAGAGTTTATTATTTGTTTAATTTTGCTTACATTCAATAAAACTTGTAAAGTCTTATATAATGTCATTCTGAAATTATTTTTACATTTTATTTATATTCCTTTTATTTTAGAGCACTGTTTTGTAAAACAAAATAAAAACTTGAAACTAATATATACTTTGAATAATATTACCTCCACAATATATCCAATATTCCATTGTTTTTCATATGCAACAGCAACCCAATCATTCACTTTCCATACAAGACAAATTTCTTTTGCAAGATTGGCGATGTCTTCCTCATATTTATTATCATCTTCATTGTCTCCTGTCAGATTAAAGTCATCATTTTCGCTATAAACTTCTTTGTTATCGTTAACCTGACTATTTTCATTATTTTCTGTTGTCGGTTCTACCAGCTTACCTATTCTTTTCAGGTTACGAAATCTATAACAATATCAATTGTACATATTTTTAAACATATGTAAACAAACACACAAAATTATAACTTTCACCTAAATTTTAATTTCATATTTGTAAAAGAACTATTTAACAGTCAGAAACATAATCTAATTTGCAAAAGTTTTGATAGCAACAATGCCTACCTTGAAAATAAAGATCTTATCTGTTGGCTAGTTACATATTGATCAGGCGGAAGTTCTCTCCTCAGCTGCATGTGAACCTGCTCAGGGCTCATTTTATTACCTGATTCTTCTCCACGAATAAAGTATTTATACAACAGTTCTTTCTGCTGATTTGAAAATCTAAAAGAACTTCGAACTGGTAATGCCCAACCTTGCAATAGAAAAATGTTCATGCAATGTGGTTTGTCTCTTACGGAAGCACTGTTAGAGGATGAAGTAATTGGCATATTAAGTTGTGAAGTAATTTTCATCTTATGAACAAACGAGTTGCGAACTTTACCAAATGATGTTAATGATTTCGGAACTGTATGAAGACCGGATAGCATGTGTTCTTCTAACTCAGCATCGCTTTCAAATGATAAAGTACAATTCATTTCAGTGCAAAATCTTAATGAATATAATTGCCTGTCACTTCTTTTCTGTTTTTCCTTAAGTGACTTGTTACGCTTAATTGAATTATCTGTTTTGCTATATGGCAACAACAACTTAATCGAGGGTTGAATTTTAAGATTTCCATACTCTTGTTCAATTCCCTCACCGATATTGAAATAACGCCACATCTTCATACTTTTCTCACCAAACTCAAATGAGTGATAGTTGCTAATGTTCTTAATCTTTGGTCCAGTAACTACAGTTTTATCATTGCTAATTTGAGCAACTGCTACTTTTGCATCTTTAGCGCCAAAACTTTAATGCATAGCCTTGTGTATATCTTCAGCAGTCAAAAGATTATTACCAGAGTCAACGTAACTCCTTAAAATTGTCTTTACAACTGCACTCTCCCTGTCACATTGATCTTTTCCACAACAGGGTTCATTATAATCATATCTCAGCAACTTTATATCTCTCTCTTTGCATACATTGTAGATTGCTTCAGCTGAAAGATTTCCCTGATAGCAGCCGGCATTATCAGATTTGGTAAACATTTTCTTGATATGCGGTTGATCAATTCTGAATTAGTCTAAAACTGCAGTGGCTAACGAAACAACATCACCTATTCCCTGATCACACCTATACATTGAAGTAAAGTAAACACGTTTGAATAACTTTCCTGCTATTTTTATGAAGAATATATCCACATGTAAACTCATTCCTTTCTTGCCAAAATACTCTCTTTGGCCCTCTCTGTATCGAACCGGAAGAATTTTTTGACAAAAATCTTTAAGCCAGATAGCAGTTTCATCGTTTAATTGCTTAAAAGCTTCAATTTTTGCCTTTTTCATTTGAGAATCTCTCATCAGGTGTTTTATGTAGTTGAATACATCCTTTACAGCAATTTCCAAATCATAAATAGAATCAGCATCGTCAGAATTATGAATTGTTAGTTCTTTGATCATCTCGATAGCTTTGCACAAATCATAGCAATCGGCACATACCACTTCTGATATCTCTGTGTTGGATTGAAGATTTTTTTCAGATGGATCTGATAAGGCATGTTTTGAGCTATAAGAAGAAATGTTTGAGTCATTGACGCTACAATTGGTTTGATAACTTGTTTTCAAATACCTTTTTCCTTTTTCAAGGGCAGCTTCGAGAGATTTAGAACTAAATCTTTGTGCCAATTTTTGTAATGTTTGAAAACCATTCATGCCTGAAGCAGTAACATCATCTAATCCAGCTAAGCTTTTTCGACTTGAAGGTTTTATTGCATGCAATACTTTCCACAAACTTGAATCAGATAATGGTATATAATTGTTTTCACTACAACTTTTTCGATAGAACATGATATCGTGGCTATATTTTGTCGTCAGTATTGCATGCACTATCTTTTATTCTTCACCGCTGTCGTATTTTAATTTGGTTATTCCATAAGCAACATCATGCAAAATACCGCTTGTAAATATAAAGTCTAAGAAATGTTCGCACTTTGTTTGATCAAGACTAGATCGGACGAATACTTTCTTCTCTGGAAATGCCAAACCTTTACGAGATGCATGCCATTTTCTTGCTGTTTCTATACGATGTTTGGTACACTCAAATGTATTCATTATAAACCTTTTGGTATACTTGGTATGGTCTAATAATGAGAGGATAACTAACTTTCCCATGGAATCACTTTGCTTATATACTTTCTGAGCACGAATAATTTCAATTGGGAGAGGGCTATTTATTTCATCAACATTTTTACTGTTAATAAAATCTATAAGTATTTCCTCATGTCCAGGAGCAACAGCTTCCGCAAATTTTTTTTTAATAAGTTTTCTAGGCGAACATACTTGCGTTTTAACTTATCTTTAGTAGTATCTTCCAGATATTCGAACTTCCTTTTTAATCTAAATTTTATTGAACTTGCATTAAGAACCTCAGTTACACTCTCATGGCTTCTTAGAGATTCGTCCAAAATCTCCTGTGAAACATTAATTTCACCGGGATCAAATTCTTCATCTGGAGTAGCAGGTGTCATATATGTTTGTTCTTGTTGTGTTTGTGTTTCTGTACATAAATTGGTGTTTTCGTTGACTCTAGATAAGCAGTTTCTTGCTTTAAATGGGTAAAACACAGCATTGCACCAACTGAAAATACTTCATTGTATCGCTTTGACATTGATATGACGACATGTATTGGTGACGCCCTTAAAGCGGGAGATTTTTTTCCTTTTATATTTAGATAGTGAGGATGAAAGCATGTTTTTGGAGGACTCCATGCAATACCAAACGTGTACCGGTGAAAAGCACATATTTGTTCATCCTTTTCAAGATTTCTTTTAAGTCTATTTGCAATAAGTCCATTTTCTTCCCAAATATTATTATCGTTTAATCGCATGACCTAAAAACAATTTTTTAAACACTTATTAAGTGTGTCATTTACAGGGACTACTAAAACAACGGGACGCGAAACTCTAATTTCATGTAGTTTTGACGACAGGGCCGATGAAAAAAAAAGCGAAACACTTCTATTATTAAACAAAAATATAATTATGAATAGAAATTTAATAAAAAAATGTTATGGCTCAATTATTTATCACTATTTTCAAACAAAAATTAAATTGTGTTGATTAAGTGTTAAAAATAAAACAACTTTTTACAAAGAAACTGTAAATTATCCGTAAATTAGCAGTAAATAATTATTTTTAAAGACAATGTTAATAAACTAATTAATCACTACTTATCATACTATATTATATTCATATCATAATAATAAATATATAATTATAAACAAATTTTAAACCATATAAATATAAAGCCATAAATACATTTCAAAACGTTATTAATTATATCACCAACGTCAACTAAATAATCAGACCACTAAGTATTGAGTTTCTTTTTCTGTCCTCAATGTTTAATGAAACAATACCAGATGTATTATCAAGGGTCGTAACACCTTTTAAGAAACAGTTAGTTATTATTGAGATAACTTTTGAAATACCTATACTGTCTGTTTCTAAATCAAATGGTAATGTTGAATGCAAGAATAAAAATAATTTCTTTAAATAAACAACACATTGAAAACGTTTTTCAGACATTGGAACGCTGTTAAACAGTAGATAACAAACACAAATAAATTGGAGAAGAGTATCACCAGGATAACGCAATTTACCACGTGAAACATAATCTGTAAATTCAGAACTAGCTGATTGTGATGTTGTTGTATCAACTATACGCTGCGGATCGATATTGTGCTGTACATAACCAGTCATATAAAAAAGGGCAGCATTCTCCTGATCATTAATAGATTCATTGTCTGCATTAATTAAACATTCATCTAAATAAATAATATCCTCTTCCATTAGATCCATTGTGCAACAGTCTGAATGTATGCGTGAGCAATGAATGTCAGTTTCATCCAAAGAAACTATTTTGCTAAATAATTTAAACCGCTGAAGGTGCAAACTGTTCAATACTTGTTCTGCTGAGATAAAACAATTTCCGCCACTTAGTTGTCTACAAATAAGCAAAAAAATTGCAAAAAGATATAACCAAATAAATTGAGTTGAACAGAGTATTAAATTATAGTTAAAACGGCAATTGTCAAATAAAAGGCATCAATAAACTTATGTATGTTAAAAAATAATACATATAAATAAATGAGAGAAATATTTGTTTTTTAGATTTCAAATCTACAAAATTTTCTTTACTATAAGTAACACAAAAATAATTTTACCTGTAGATGCCAAATTCACCTTCAAGACGATCTGTTTGAAAAATACCGGGAAGAACATATTGGTGATCTTCTGAAAGCAGTTTTTTTTATTAATTTTACCAATCCTTGTAGGGTGTTAACTAAAGCATGCTTTGTTTCTGGTGTAAAAGTATTATGACGCTTTAATCCCTTTCCCTCTGACATCTTAGAAGTTGCATCAGCAAATGCTAAAATTTCTTTAAATCTAAGGTCATTAAGTGTCTGGAAAGGAGACCTATTGATATCATTAAGTAAAACATCACAACCTTTCCTCTTTACATTTAGCATGTTCCATAATGAAACAATTGGTGCTAAAAAACAGGCAGTGTTCTCAAAATTAGCTAATCTCAATGCTGCAACAGTTTTTTCATTAAATACAGCAACCATGTTTGCAACATTTTGTCTATCAATCAAACTAGGGTACACTGACTTGCGTGAAAGCTTTGTAGTTTTGGCAACACAAGTTTTCTGTCTGTTATATAATTGAACAATGTGAGACCAATCACCAGAGAGAGGTTGATTATTAATTTTTAAACTAATTGTTTGCGTTTTTTCCGTAAACCAATTATTTCTTAAACTTTTAAACAAGTGAACTGGATCGTGTAGCATAATAACTGGTTTTTCTTTTTCTATAACACCTTGCCATGGAAAACTTTTATTAACAACAAAATTTTGGTAAACACTTCGATTTGTGGGATGGTTATCTGATAAAAGACACAGTAATTTTCCACCTGCATCAATTATTTGTTTATTTATGTTTATAATCAAATCGTGAAGAAAGTGCACTGACAGTTTAAATATTGGTACAATTCTACAAACAAAAGAAGGTTTACCAAACATAGGTTTAATCATAAAGACTAATAACGTTTTTGCAATTTTAGTGGGATTGTCCTCACTATATCCAATGAGGTATCCTCCTCTGAAACTAACACTTAGTTTAATATACATCTCATCAAAGAGAAGGCAGCAACGCTTTTCAGAACTATTAAAATTTTCAAAAACATTTTTGATTGTATTATTGCACTCTTTTTCATTTCCAACTCCAACTCTTCCTAATTTTGAAATGAGAGTCTTTGGACTGGGCAAACAAAGCAGATTTCTTAAATGTCGATAACAGCATCTGGAGGACAAATACAGTTCAAGTGCACGACGTATACATAAAGTAGAAAAGCGCAGTCCATTTGGAGAATAAGTGGTGAGGCGTAGTTGTTCAATGAGGAAAGAAATTTCTTTAGAAGTATCACTGTATGTATTTTCAATTTGACTAATCAAACTTAATACCTCATCTTTTATTTCAGGACTAGAGGTACAAACTCTTTTGACAATAGCTTCAAGCTGTGATCACCGAGTAAGACAATGAGAAAAACTGAGCAGGTCATAGCAGTTAACTTTAGTATGCCTACAATAAATATTAACTTGACGTGAATGACAGTTAATTTCAACAGAAAATATTG